TGGGTGCGCCGGTCCCCCCTTAAACGGTGCCAGCGGGTGGAGGAAGAGAATGAGAATGCGTGGCAGGCACAGACCTCCTCATCAGATCACCACATGTGCGCCGCCGTCCAGACTTGGGCCGTTCACCCGTACTCTGGAGTGGAGCGGAGTACGACCATCGGCTGGAGAGTTGTATTGCTGGTGGCAAAGCTACCCAATGATGACCTCGAGGAGTTCCTTGGGGTCTGGCCTGACAGCGGCGAGGAGGGCGATGCTTTTTTGAAAGAGGGGCCGCTTCATGGGCGCCGCCGTCCGCCGGCGCCTGCTGGGCAGGAAGCGTGACCGGGAGGAGGAGTTTAACAGGTGGGACTACGGCAAGGGCATGCGCAAGCCCCCGAGGTCTCGCCCAGCACACCCCCGACGCCCACGGTGAGCGGCGATGACTGGTCACACGATTAGTCGTCCTTCCTTTTTCTAAATCCGAGGCCTGTCGCTCGAACAACCATGGAACCTCTCACGTGAGTGTGAGTATTCAGGTGGTTGTGACAAATAGAATGAAGCGGAGATCTCGTGTAACGCAAGTGCCGCCGAGTTGCGTTCACCACGCATTTGTGTTTTCCATTAAGAACGTCATTAACCATGCTGTGTACAACTCTTGAGTGTGGCTTGACCACTCGCCACCACAATTTTGACGTCACCTTTATTGCGCCACTGGTGATGTGACAATGTATATATATACACATACATATATATATATATATATGTATAGCAAGTTGCACTTGACCGACCCGACTTGGATCATCAGGTCGAGAGGCAGTGTTTCGGTATCAAGCCCCAGGCTGCTGTGCAACCGCTGGTGTTCGGCTCAAGTTTTTCAGTCCGCGTTACCGCGGCGCGACACTTTGTGGTACTGCTATCAGTCTTAATAGACAGAGCGCCCCATCCTGATTACCTTCGTTCTGTTAGATTTGCAGGAGGAGTGATGATGATGATGATGATGATGAGGAGGAGGAGGAGGAGGAGGAAGTACCTGACGCTTCAGGCATCGGCCCTAAGTCCGCGCACGCAACGTCAAAAAGGAGGAGGCGGACGAGTTGGAGGAGGAGGAGGAGGAGGAGGAGGAGGAGGAGGAGGAGGAGCAGGAGGAGGAGGAGGAGCAGGAGGAAAAGGGGACCTCTGGCGGCGAGGCTCCTGGGTGGTCGCTGCAGCCCGGCCAGCTGGGGCAGCTGCAGCGGTTGGGCCAGCCGTATTTCTTGCCGCTGGGTCAGTGCAGCGGCTGGCACTTCCTCTGCCTCCTGGTGGCGCTCCTCTTCCCTCGTCTTTCTCGCGCGTCCTTCTCCTCCACCTGTCCTCCTCCCCCTCCCTCCCTGATCCTTCTCCCTTCCCTCCTCCCAACTCTTCCCCCTCCTCCTCCTCCTCCTCCTCCTCCTCCTCCTCCTCCTCACTCCTTCATGGCCCCACCTCTGCTCCTATTCACTCCTTTCCTCCTACCTCCTATTCCTCCCCATCCGCCTCCCCCGTTTCCCCCTTAAAGTGCGCTCCCCTTCCTCCCTCTCGTCCGCTCTCCCCCCATCCCTGCTTTTCCTCCTGCTACGTCTCCTCATTTCCCCTCCTCGGCATCATCTTCATGTCCTTCTCTTCATCTTCACCTTCTACACCATCTATCAAGTCTCCTCCTTCCCTTCTGCTTCTCCTCCTCCTCCTCCTCCTCCTTTATCCTGCCCCCTCCCTCCTCCTGCCTCCTGCCTTCTCTCTTTCCTCTCCTCTTTCCCTCCCATTGGCTCGTCCTTATACTCCCCCTCTCCTCCTCCTCCTCCTCCTCCTCCTCCTCCTCCTCCTCCTCCTCCTCCTCCTGCTCCTCATCCTCCTCCTCCGTCCGCATCCTCCCACCTTCTGCCTCCCTTCCTCCCTCCTGGGCCCCCCTCCCTTTTCCTCCTCTCACTCCCAACCCTCTTGCCTCCTTCATCCCTTCGTCACCTCCTCCTCTGGTCGCGCTCACCTTCTGCGTCTGTGGCGCTGGTCTGCTGCTGCTGACAGCCACGCTGCACCTGGTGTTCGCGCTGGCGCCAGAGACAGGCTGCCGTGGGGCTACTTCTGATCCCCCGATGGCCCCAATGACCCACTGGGGCACCCGGGGGTGCCCCAGTGGGCACCGTAGGACCCTGAGAGGTCGACGGAGGATGTGCCCCAAAGAGTTCTCCTGGCAAGCTTTCTTATCGTGTGTCTGCTGTGTCCAGACATCCGAGGATGTTTTTTTCGTTCCATCCGTGGCCGCGATTTAAAGCCCCAGGAAGACGGTAAAAGAGCCCTAGAAGAGTCCTAGGAAGGGGTAAGAGAGCCCTAGGAAGGGGGTAACAGAGCCTTAGGAACGGGGACCAAGAGCCATAGAGAGGGTCAACATAGCAGAACTCCCGCCCCCCTTCCGCGGGGGGGGGGGAGTGTGTCGACCCGGGGCCGTTGGTGATACGGTGGCCCCTGGGCATACAGTGAGCGGCTTGAATAAGGAACGCTTACTTTTCAAAAGGGGCTCGGTCGTTCCCTTTATCGTTCCTTATGCATTATGTATTATTGATCGGTCCTTGTGCGTTATTCCCTGGAGAAAAGGGGCTTCGTCCCTGATTTGTCGTTCCCTAGGTCAGGCCGATGACTGTAGTAGCGGGCCCGGGAGGCCCAGATCGAAGCAAGCGCCAGGATCGAACGAGCAAGCGAGAAGCAGATCGGCGGAGGCCGCGCAGCCGTTCCGCGCGCGCACAAGCTTGCCGCCCGGTTGCCGCGCGCGGCCGCCGCCGCCTCCGCGCGGTGTGCCGCGCCGACGGCCTGCTGGAGGAGGCCGCCGCCACGCCGCCGTGCGCCGGGCCCCCCCTTCTTTTTCGCCGCCCGTCTTCATCCGTCTTCCCCCAGCAGTGCTTGCACCGAAGGAGTCCTTCTGCGGAAGTGGAAGGATTTGGCGAAGGTCTCCCGCCGATTTGTTGGTAGCAGGCCGGGTTCCTGGGTTCCCGGGTTCCCCGTGGTTGGTTCCGGGTTCCCGGGTGTTGGTTCCCGGCTCCCGGATTACCGGATATTGGTTCAGGGCCGATTTCGGTGGGTTCTGGGTTCCTGGGCTCCCGGGTTCCCCGTCGATCTCCTCAGCGAAAACCATCCATTGATTGGTTTTTTTCTCTGGTGCAGTTGTTTGTCAATCCTACGGTCGGGAATCTTTGGACAGCGTGTCGCTCCGCCGGTTCTGGCCCATCCACGCTCCAGCCCCCGAGCGTCAACGCCTCGAGTGTTTCCCCGCCTCCGGCCCCGCTGCAAAGGGAGCGACACGCTATCCGCTCGCAAGGCGCAGCGTGTCGCCGGGGCTGCCGCCGCCGCGGGACGCGTGGCAAGAATTCCCGACCTCAATGCCTTTCTTCGCCTGCGACCTCCGAGGCCCGTACAGTCGGGGCTCCGTGTTCCTTTATTGTTTTCATTTTGCCCCATGTTATTCTTGGATTTTCGATGGGAAGTCGAAGTTGAACTTCTGGAGAAAAGGGGCCTCGTTCCATATTTAGGGTTCCTTAGGTCAACGCCCCGACTGTAATCGGATCCCAGGGCCATCAAGCATGGATCTGGGACGAAAACATTGCTCCCCAGAGAAGGGGTCGGGGAGGAGGAGGAGGAGGAGGAGGAGGAGGAGGAGGAGAGCGGAGGAGGAGAGGAGGAGGAGGAGGAGGAGGAGGAGGAGGAGGAGAAGGAGGAGGAGGAGGAGGAGGAGGAGAGGAGGAGGAGGAGGAGGAGGATGAGAGAGAGGAGGAGGAGGAGGAGGTGAGGAGGAGGAGGAGGAGGAGGAGAGCGGAGGAGGAGGAGGAGGAGGAGGAGGCACCCCTCCACGCCGTGAACGCCGCGTGCTGGCGGCGCCGCCGCGGGAAGCCCTCCCGAGGAAGCCGCGGCCCCGGCTTTCGCTTGCCGGCCTGCGATCCGTGGGCCAACGACGCGGCCGCCGGTGCCCCGTCGCTCCCCGAACTCCGGCGGCGCGATTTTTGCTCACGGCGTGGGCTCCTCGAGATCTGCAGGCCCCCCAGGGGTCTGCTCCCTGGGGAGAAGCATGGACTCCTCCCTCGTCCACCCTTCGAGGCTGGCAGGCACCCCAGGACGGGCCTTCCGCTCGTCGTCTAGGTTTTGGTTCCCGCAGGGTTCATCTGTAGGCCCGTGCTCCTCTTGCTCAGTGGCGCGACAGGCCATCGGCGTTGTCTCTCCCCCCCCTCCCCTCCCGCCTCCGTTCTTCTCCCTCCCCGGAGCTGCGGCGCCGCGAATCTTCGTCAAAAGGTGGACCCCCTAGAGGTCCCAGCCGCTCTCCCCCCGGGACGGGCTCCGCGGCCCGATATCGCGAGGCCTCCCTTGGCAGCCCCAGGGGACCCAGTGAGGGCCTCCGGAGGCCAAGAGCGGCGCCAAGGATCTATGCCCCGGGGGCCCCCCCCCCCTCCCCCCCCCCCTGGCGACACCCTTCGGTCGGGCCTGCCCCTCCACAGGAGGTGACTCTTTTTTTGTTGGGGGGGGGGCTATTTTTTTGATGGTTCGTCCAGCGTCCGCCTGTAGAGTCGGGGCGCTGAAGAAGGAACCCTTTTCGTTGGGGAGGGGCTCGGTGTTCCTTGATTTGTTTCACAGCTTGCCTCAGGCTTTCCTTATGTTTCCGACAGGAAATCGAAGGTTCACTTATGGAGAAAAGGGGCCTCGTTCCTTATTTAGGGTTCCTTTGGTCAACGTCTCGACTGTATTTTTGATGGTTCGTCCAGCATCCGCCTGTAGGAGGACGTGCCCCCCTGGCGCCACCCCCTCCTGCGCGCCGCCCGCGGCCAGCTCCGCACGGCCCCGGCCGGCCTCGGGCAGCCTCCTCCTCCTCCTCCTCCTGCTCCTCCTCCTCCTCCTCCTCCTCCTCCTCCTCCTCCTCCTCCTCCTCCTCCTCCTCCTCCTCCTCCTCCTCCTCCTCCTCCTCCTCCTCCTCCTCCTCCTCCTCCTCCTCCTCTCATCCAGGCGAGCGCGTGTTCTCGGGCCCCCAGGGCATGGTCAGCGGCCTGTGGCGCGGTGCGGGCGGGACCGTCATCCTGGCCCTGGCCATCGTGGGCGCCCTCGGCTTCTTCCGCTTCCGGAGCTCAGCGAGCGAAGAACGGTATAAAATGAACTCTTTCGCTGCCGGGGGCGCCTGTCCCTGGGCGGCTGGAAAGTTTATACCCCTACGGTGCCACCGTAAGGGCATGAACTTCGCCCGTTAAGGAGCGAGCTGCGGGGGAGGTGGGTCCAGTGGCTCCTGCTGGCCTTCATCGTTGTCGTTCTCCTGTCCGTCAACGCGATCAACACGGGCATCGGCTTCGTGGCCAACTACCTGACGCAGTCGATGGTGGAGAAGGAGCCGGACGACTTCTACAGGTGGCTCTCGATCTACGCGAGCTGCTTCGTCTTCGCGCTGCCTGTGCTGACGCTTCAGTACTTCGTGAAGGCCAAGCTGGGGATTCTCTGGCGGGAGTGGCTCACGTCAAGCCTGATGGCTGGGTGGATGTCGAACAGGGCGTATTACGTGCTCAATGCGAACGATGAGGAGGCTGGGCAAGAGGGCGTGGACAACCCCGACCAGCGTATCGCAGAGGATGTCGACACTTTCACCACCATGACACTCGAATACCTGATCGGCACGATCGACTCCCTGATGATGTTCGGCATGAACATTCTCGTGCTGTGGAACATCAGTCATACACTCACGATTGTCTTGCTGTCCTGGTCAGTAGGAATGACTGCCGTTATTCTTTTCCTGAGCAAGAACCTCGTGCGTGTCAACTATCGCCAGCTCAAGTTCCAGGCAGACTTCCGGTATGGACTGGTGCACGTGCGCGACAATGCCGAGTCGATCGCTTTCTACAGCGGCGAGGCCTCTGAAAGAGCCGAGATGAGCAACCGCCTCGGCCAAGTGGTTGGGAACTATAACAAACTCATCATATGGACTGTAGGGATATCCGTGGTTAAGAGGATGTACAGCTACGGCAATGTGTTTGTACCGTACCTTGTCATGGGTCCCTTAGTGCTCTCGGGGAAGTTGACGTACGGGGATTTCTCGCAGGCGAACTTCACGTTCCGCATGGTGGAGGACGCGCTGTCCTTCATCGCGACGAGCATCAACGAGATGACTGCCTGGGTCGCGGGCATTACCCGCCTGGAGGAGTTCCAGACCGCGGTCGGGCAGGTCGCGGCGGACGGCGAGGGCAAGGACGAGGACCGCCCGGCGCGATCGGTGCGCCCCGCATCGGCGAGCGGCGAGGGGGCGGCGGTGCTGGTGCACGGCGCAGAGCTGCGCACGCCTGGGACAGGCCACCAGGGGCAGCGCCAGGGGGGGATAAGGCCCACGGGGCTGCGCGTCGACCCCAAGTCGCCCACGGATCGCCGACAGGGGGCCGCCAGCCCGCCCCGCGCGGAAGCGCTTGGACTTGCCGTCGGGGGCCCAGGGCCGATCTGTCGGCGACCTGTCGCCGACTGCAGGCCGAGGTCTCCCCCCCCCCCCTGGGCCGGTCCGCGGTGGCCTTCGGGCGGGGCGCAGCCGCGGCCGGAAGGCCGCCGAGGACAGGCGAGAGCGCGCAAACACCTCGAGGCCTCGAAGCCAAAAGTGATGGGTTTGTTTCTCCACCGCCACCACCATACTGTAAGTTGGAGGGGGAGGGGGTCCTCCTCCATCCTCCTCCTCCTCCTCCTCCTCCTCCTCCTCCTCCTCCTCCTCCTCCTCCTCCTCCTCCATCCTTCCTTCTCCTCCTCCTCCTCCTCCATCCTCCTTCTCCTCCTCCTCCTCCTCCTCCTCCTCCTCCTCCACCTCCTTGCCCCCTCCAACTCATGGTGGTGGTGGTGGTGGTGGAAAACAGGCCCATCAAAAAGCGCCCCAGGCCAGCTACTGAACAGCGGCCTGAGCCCAACCGCCTCAAGCCCTCAAAGCCGAATTCGCTCCCAGATATCGGGCTGCCCCAACTTGTTTGGTGCGTGCACCCCAGAGGTCCCGACCACTTCCCCGAGACCGGTTTTCCGCCCCGAGTCGTTTTTGTTGACGCTCCCGAGAGGCCCGGCGAGGGCCCCCGGAGGCCGAAAATTGCCCAACTCCCGCCGCCCCAATTTTTTTGGAGCGTCTTCCTTCTCCTCCTCCTCCTCCTCCTCCTCCTCCTCCTCCTCCTCATCCTCCTCAATTTTTTGGGGCCCCAGGCCAGCTGCTGATCAGCGGCCTGAGCTTCAGCCTCCAGCGCGAGGAGCGCCTGCTGGTCGTGGGCCCCTCGGGCTGCGGCAAGACGTCGCTCCTGCGCATGGTCTGCGGCCTCTGGCGGCCGGCGGCCGGCACGCTGGAGGCGCCGCCGGTGGGGGAGCTGCTCTTCGTGCCCCAGGCCGAGGAGGGGAAACACGTCAGAGCCCCGAATCATCAGGGGTAACTCGGGTCAGGGCTAACTCGGGTTCGTTTTTCGGGATTCCGAACCCGAGTTACCCCGGACCCGAGTTACCCCGGATAACTCGGGCGTCCAGAGCCCCAAAATCATCAGGGGTAACTCGGGTCAGGGCTAACTCGGGTTCGTTTTTCGGGAATCCAAACCCGAGTTACCCCGGACCCGAGTTACCCCGGATAACTCGGGCGCCCAAACACGCGCACGAGCACACCAGGGTCGAGTCGGCCCTGTCCCTCTACAGGGGGGAAAAATGCAAGCACAGTCCAAAAAAATAGTCTGGGGGCTATGTTTGAGCATTGTTTGAACATGCTGGAGTCTTTTGTTGACCAGTTCTTGTTTTTCGTCGAGATTCCCCTTGTAGGGGGACAGGCCCGACCTAACACCAGGGGAACGAGCCATGACATGAGCATAAAAAACTCGGAGGTTTGCGCGGGTGTCTCGGATCCGCGCCGGGCCCCCCAGGCGGCGCCTCCGGCGTCGCGCGCCAGGGAGGGGGGCCCCAACGCTGGTCCGAGGAATCCGCGCGGACCTCCGAGTTTTTATGTTTCTGTCATTCTTCGGAAACTGGGACAGATACATTACCAGCGGCATGCTGTTTTTCAATCCCTTGACTTTTTGAGGGTCAGGGACGACGTCGGGGTGGTGTGGTGTATAGTTGTTACCCCGCTCTCCTGGGGAAATGACGACAATGTATACACCAGCATCCCGCATACACCAGGATCCGCTTTCCTGTGCGAGTTTCAGTGCAGGGCCGGAAAAAGCGTCGGTGCATAGAGCTCGGTCCCCTAGTTCTTCGTTTCCCTACACGCGGTCCGGAACTCTGGCTCAGCGTGTCGCGTCCGCCACTCTCTCCTCCCTCTTCCCTCTCCCTCCTCCCGGCTCCCTCCTCCCTCCTCCCTCCTCCCTCCTCCCTCCTCCCTCCTCCGTCCACTCCTCCTCCCTCCACCCCTCCTCCCTCACCCCTCCTCCCTTCTCCCCCCCTCCCTCTTTCTCCATCCCTTCTCCGTCCCCCCTCATCACTGCTCCCTGGCCCACCACGCTGCGGCGCGCCGCGCAGTCCGCGCCCCCGGTCCCCAGCGCCCGCGCCCCGAGCCGGTCGCCAGCCTGCCGCCCCGCGGAGCGGAGCGACTTCGCGCTGCCCCGCCCTGGCTTCGGGGCAGCTACAGTGCCGCGGGGGCCGCCGCCGCGACAGCGCGCTCCGCAGAGGGCCCTGGCCGTGCACTTCCGGAGGTCCACGCGGGTTCCTGGGGTCGGGGCTGGACACCCCCCTGTCAGAAGGCGAAAACCCACCCCCACCCCCAGTCCCGACGCCCATCCCCGAGCCGGCGATTCAAGGAGTCGGGACTGGGGGTGGGGGTGGGTTTTCTCCATTCCTGGACCCCGCAAGCCCACCCCCACCCCCAGTCCCGACTCCTTGAGTCGCGGGTTCGGGGATGGAGTCGGGACTGGGGGTGGGGGTGGGTTTTCGATTTCTCACCCTTGGCGGCGCCCTCGGCGCCGCCCCTGACGCGGCTCCGGAGAGGGGGGCCCGGCGCCGATCCCGGAACACCGCGCGGGCCTCCGATCAGCTCTTCTGCCTGTGCCGCTCCTCCCTCCCTCGGGCAGAAGCCGTACATGGTCCTGGGCAGCCTGCGGGAGCAGCTCGCGTACCCCCTGGGCGAGGGCTCCTTCAGCGACGACCAGCTGCGGCGGGCGCTCCAGGATGATGGGCGCATTTTCCACCACCACCACCACCACCACCACCACCACCACCACCACCACCACCACCACCACCACCACCACCACCACCACCACCACCATAGGCAGGACGGGGGAGGAGGGGATGGGGAGGTCCTCCTCCTCCTCCTCCTCCTCCTCATCCTCCTCCTCATCCTCCTCCTCGTCCTCCTCTTCTTCCTCCTCCTCCTCCTCCTCCGCCTCCTCCTCCTCCTCCTCCTCCTACCTATGGTGGTGGTGGTGGGAAATGGGCCCATCACAGGAGGCCTGCCTCGGCCACTTCGTGGAGCGCTACCCGGACCTGGGAGTCAAGCAGGACTGGGCGCGGCTGATGTCCCTGGGGGAGCCTCGAGGGCCCAACGAACGACGAGGGGCACAGGCCTCTGGAGGCCCGAGCGGACTTCTCGGCTCGGCGCTCCTCCTCCTCTTCCTCCTCCTCCTCCTCCTCCTCCTCCTCCTTTGCACACACCCTGTCTCCTGGGCGCGCGGATCGCGCCCCGGGGGCGCCAGAGGTGACGCCGGGGGGCAGGGAGCGGCCCAGGACGTCGTGAAGTTTGCGCAGCGTGGACACCCTGAGGTCTCCCAGGGACAAGTCTCCCAGGGCCCAGCGAGGGCCCCGCGGAGGTGCAAGACTGACAAACCCGCTCCCGTCGCAGATTGCGCCACGACGAGAGGCGGGGGAGGGGGGAGGGCCGGCCCGGGAAGTCCGCACGGACCCTCGGACTCTTTGGCTCATGGCTCCCGTCGGCCTAGAAGCCCCCAGGAGCAGCAGCGCGTGTCCTTTGCCCGCGTCCTGCTCAACGCGCCCAGCGTCGTGGTCTTGGACGAGGCCTCCAGCGGCCTCGACGTGGCCACAGAGCGCAAGCTCTACGACCTGCTGACCAAGCGGGGCATCAGCTTCATCAGCGTGGGTCACCGGCCGACCCTGAAGAGCTTCCACACCTGGGTGCTCGAGCTGCAGGGCCCGCCCACCGGCGGGTGGCAGCTGGTCCCAGCGGCCAGCTACGAGTTCAGCGCATGAGCCAAGGATCATCGCGCAAGCCGCCATGTCCCTGCCGAGGAGGAGGTGGTTGCTTGAGGAGGAGGAGGAGGAAGAGGAGGAGGGAGGAGGAGGAAGAGGGAGGAGGAGGAGGAGGGAGGAGGAGAGGGGAGGAGGGAGGAGGAGAGGAGGAGGAGGAGGAGGAGGAGAAAGGGATTAATGCGGCCCAGCAACGTCCTGGCCCGGCGTGCAAGTGCGACCGCTCTTTGGCTTGGAGCGCGGGCTCTACATGGTCGACCCCCCCTCCCGCCCCCTCCTCCTCCTCCTCCTCCTCCTCCTCCTCCCCTCCTCCTCCTCCTCCTCCTCCTCCTCCTCCGCCTCCTCCTCCTCCTCCTCCTCCCCTCCTCCTCCTCCTCCTCCTCCTCCTCCTCCTCCTCCTCCTCCCCCTCCTCCTCTCCTCCTCCTCCTCCTCCTCCCCTCCTCCTCCTCCTCCTCCTCTCCTCCTCCTCCGCCTCCTCTCCTCCTCCTCCTCCTCCTCCTCCTCTTCCTCCCTCCTCCTCCTCGTCTTTGTGCTCGCCCGCACGGCCAGCCCTCGGGCAGGTTTCCCGAGGTCCTGTCGGTCGGGGAGAGCCCGCCCGTGGCCGCGGGGAGGCTCGCCGTGGGCGGAGGCAGCCCTCCGTGTTCCCCCCGCGGCGCTCCTCGCGGCTCTCGGGAGGGACAACGCACACACACACACACAGACACACACACACACACACACACAGACACACACACACACACACACACACAGCCACACACAGCCACACACACACACACACGCACGCACGCACGCACGCACGCACGCACGCACGCACCGCACCGCACCGCACCGCACGCACGCACGCACGCACGCACGCACACAGACACAACGAATCGCCGATTCCCAAGAAACTATGGGGAAGACCCGGGAAGTATGGGAGGGAGGACGAAGACCCAGAGAGTATGGCAAGAGCCGGGGGGTGATCCTGTCACTCGTGTCGACTTCTTTGTGTGTCCCCGGGGCCCCTCCGGGTGAGCACGACGGCCGCATCCGGGGGGGAGATTCCGGGCCGCGCCACCGTCGAGCAGCACACAGGCCTCCCCCGTCGGCCAGCTTCGCGACCCCTCGTCGTGCACTCCCCCCGCAGCGCGGGCCGCCCCGCCGAGGCGTGGGCCCCTTCTCTCCAGGACTGGCTTTTCGTCCCGGGTCGTTCTGCGACGGTCCCCGGGCCCAGGGGAGAGCCCCTGGAGGCCCAAGACCGTCCAAGACCCGCGGGAGGAGGAGGGGGAGGAGGAGGAGGAGGAGGAGGAGGAGGAGGGGGAGGACGGGGAGGAGGAGGAGGAGGAGGAGGAGGAGGAGGAGGAGGAGGAGGAGGAGGACCAGGGGAGGCAGCGCCCGCAGGGACCTCATGCCACCAGGAACCAGGAACCAGGAGGACCAGAGTAAACCGAGACGCAACACACGCTGCTGCAATACACCCTCCCGTCCCAGGTCCCTTCCCCACACGCCATTACAAGTCCTCCTTTCCACTACCCCCTGGAATGAGCAGCACAGTTGGGCCTACCACTTCTTCGAGGGCACTGCTTTGAAACATGATTGCAGTACTTCTCGCTGGAGCGTCACCAGGAACGCGAAGGGCAATGATCCTTGAGTTCAACGAGGTGCCCAGCGAGATCTCCCTTTCAAAGAAGGGCGGACCCCCGCCCGTAGAACTGGATCGAGCAATTCTTACGCGACGGCTTTACTGTGAAGGGCCGCCACGGATCCGTGCAGCACCACGTGCGTTGAAGCTTCAGGCAATTGACCTTCACGAAGTCTCAGGGTGTGTGTGTGTGTGTGCGGGGGGGAAATATGGAACAACAACGGGCCGTCGAGATGACCCGGCTGTGGTGGTAGTAGGCGTTTGCCCTTTCTGTCTTCTGCAGCAGGTGCCTTCCCTTCCATGCAGCCCTGCTGCCTTGCGCAGCAGTTGCTTCACCTTCCTTGCCGTCCACCTGCCTTGGGCTGCGGGCGCTCTCCCGCCTTCTAGTTCCTCCCTGGCCTTCCTCCTGCCTTGGGCAGCGGGTGCACTTCCCTCCTCGCCTTCCTCCTCGGCCCTCTTCTCCTGGCTTCGGCGGGGCCTCTTCACTCCTTGCCTCTGACCTCCTCCCTGGCTTCTGCAGTGGGCGCCCGTCCCTCCTCCTCCTCCTCCTCCTCCTCCACCTCCTCCTCCTCCTCCTCCTCCTCCTCCTCCTCCTCCTCCTCCTCCTCCTCCTCCTCCTCTCCCTCCTCCTCCTCCTCCTCCTCCTCCTCCTCCTCCTCCTCGTCCTCGTCCTCCTCCTCCTCCTCCTCCTCCTCCTCCTCCTCCTCCTCCTCCTCCTCCCTCGCCCTCCTCGGCGCTGGGCACCGTGTACCTCTCCGTCAGCACCAAGTCCCGGACGTGGATCGCCCACTCGAGGATGCGCCTGCCCCCGCATGCGCGGCGTCCCTCGCCCGTGGGCCAGGCGAGCCGCCTCTGAAGCGGGTCTCGCGGCCTGTGCTGCGGCCTGCCCTGGAGGCCCGTGCAGGTCCACAGCAGGTGGTCCGTTTCCAGCACCCGCGCGCCGCACCACTGGCAGGGCGCCATCTTCCTTCTGGGGTCCTCCCTCGGCGGCGGCTGCGCCTCGTCGGCCGCCCGTGCGGCCCGCTGCGCCCTGCTGCTGTCCAGCACCGCGGGGGACACGAAGGCGCTGGCCAGGAAAGCTGCTGCCTTCCTGCTGCTCGCCGCCGCCGTCTGCACGGCCTTGATCCTTCGGGGGTCGTAGTTCTCCCACCAGAGCCCCGAGGCGATCCTGTTGGCACGTCGCCACTGCGCGAAGCATGTGTGCCGCCACCCTTCCTGGAGCACGTGTGCGAGCGCCTTCGGCCTGAGCCAGTCCCTGCTGCTCCTATCCAGGCTGATGCGTTCGTCGAGCACCGCGTGGCGCCAGGCCCAATCCCTCGTCAGCGTCCACCCCGTGGTCTTGAGCATGGAGGCGAAGGTGCCGCCCCAGCCTCGGCCTCTCTTCCACCGCGTCGGTGTCGTGCCCGGCCGCGCCCTGGCCGCACTCCTCGCCGCCGCTATCACCGTGGCCTGCTGCACCCGGCAGGCGACGGCCTTGCACCAGCTTCCTGAGCGCCGGCGCCGTGCGCTGCGGGAGACCGACCGCGAGGTCCACTGCGGCCTGGATGTTCCCTGTGTCTGATTCGCTCGGCGTGTCGTTGGCCCCCCCTGTAATTAGTGCTCTGCCACGCCGATAGGCCCCGGCGCCAGCGCCGCTCGCAGAGCCCGGCCGCTGCAGGGAGAAGCAGCTTCGCGCGGCGCGCCTGCAGCAGCGCCTGTTCCACTCTCCTCTTCTCCCTGCTCACCCTGGCCCTCTTCTGGCCTCGCGTGAGCTTCAGGCCCATGGGCCTCGAGCTCGGCGTGGACCCTCCCTGCCCGCGGGAGCCCCCTGCCGCAGCAGCTGCTGGCGATTCCTCGGTGTCGTTTTTCCTTGAGACCCAGAAAGTTCCCCAATCAGAGCTTGCCTCTGTAGGGGTCCTAGCGGATTCATATGGTTAAGTGAGGTTTGCCGCCGATTTTCGCCGCACGCCCGGGTACCCGGGGGTGCCCGGGTGCCCGGGTACCCGGGTGCCCGGGCGTGCCCCGGGGTGCCCGGGGGTGCCCTATAGCCCTATAGCCCAATAGCCCTATAGCCCTATAGCCCTACAGCTCTATAGCTCTATAGCCCTATAGCCCTGTAGCTCAATAGCCCTATAGCCCTGTAGCCGTATAGCCCTATAGCTCTATAGCCCTATAGCTCTATACCCTATAACCCTATAACCATGTAGCTCTATTACCCTATAGCCCAATGGCCCTATAGCCCATGTAGCCATAGAGCCCTACAGCCCTAAAAAGATTATGATTGAGGTGTTCTCCGGTATCATGAGTTTTTTCCTCCAACAATTTAAACATAAGATAAAAACATGTGTTTGTTCCCTCCACGCCTCCGCGGCCCTAAAAAGTCCTGGGGTCGTGGGTGTCGTCCACGTCCTGTCGTCTTCGAAGAGGGCGAGCTCCGCCCTTGGCGCCGCGGCCTGCGCCTCGAGAAGCGGCCCGGCCAGGCTCGCTGTGAGCGCCGGCGGGGACCGTGGGCCGCCCTGGGGGAGGGACCCGTCCACCGGTTCTGGCTCTGGTAGCGTGGCCCCGCCTATCAGAGGAGGGCAGGGTGAGACAAGGGTGACGTTTTTGCCTTTTTCGCCTCCGAGGGGCCTCCTCGTCGCCACGGCTGGACGCAGCGTGAAAAATCGGTGCGTTTGGACCCCGGGAGGGGTCTGGGGTCCGATTTTGAGCCGATTTGGCCACCGTTGATCACGGCCGTTGTCTCACGTTGCCCTCCTCCGAGTCCAGGTGCAGCCACCTCCTTCGCGTCGTTCACTGCGTGGCCAGGATGATCCGCAGCCCGTCTGGCATCCCGAGCAGCCTCAGCGCCTCCTCCGCGACCCAGGGGTCGTCGTAGTCGAAGCACAGCAAGTGGTCCCAGCTGGTTCCGTACGCCCCTGCCTTCATCTGGTCCGTGATGACCGCCGCGGCGTCCCAGACCGACGCTCCTCTCTTGCCTCCATGGCAGCTGCTGGGCCACCATTCCTCTGTCCACTGCTGGCACGACAAGGACCGTAGGCGCGCCGACGCCCAGCACCTGTAGAACCAGCTGAGGATCGTGACCAGCCTCATGGCCTCGACTCCCTGCCCGCCGCCTTCGGCAGGTGCACCTGCCTGGCCTCCGACCAGCTGGTGGGCACCTCCCGCGTCTCTCTCGCAGTCATGGAAGACCTCCGCCAACGCCTGCACCATCGGCACCATCCCCGCCAGCTCCGCGCCCGTCCACCCGTCCGGGCCGGCGGAGCTGCCCGCGATGCTGCTCATGGCCGTGCGCACCTCGAGCTCGTTCGGCGGTCCCCACGCCCGCGTGCTCATCCCCTCGAGTGCCTGCCGGGGCCTCCTCCTCCGTGCACTCCCTCTCGTTCGGCCCTGGCCTCCTCCAGACCTTCCGCCACCGCCTCCTCAGGAGCAGCAGCAGCGCCTCCTGTGCTGTCTTCGCGGCAGCCCTTGGCAGGTCCTCCTTGCTGTAGAGGGGGGCTCCTGGTGCCCGGGCACCTCGTCGCAGCCACGCGTGTGCAGCGCGCGAGCTCTCCCGCAGGCGCTTCTTCCATCCATTGATCCTCGCGCTCCTTGCTTCCCCCCGGCAGCGGTGCAAGCGGTCTTCCGCCTCCTCCGACCTGTCCTGGGCCCGTTGCTGCAAGAAGCGCAGCCTGCGGCACCTCGCGCCTCCTCTTGGAGGTGGGGGCCGCGCCTCCTTTAGCAGCACGGCTCCTCCTCTTCTCCTGTACCTGCACCACTCCTTTGTGGCAGCCTTCGCGTGGACCAGGCCCAGGGTCTCGTCCGCCTCCCCCTCGTCCTTCCTTGTCCTCGTCGGCCTCCTCCTCCTCAGCCTGCTCTTTCCTTTCCTCCCACCGTTCCGCCTCCTGCAGCAGCATCGCGCGTGCCCGGCTGCAGGCGGTCTCCATGCAGTACGTCAGGAGACGCCACCTCCTGTCGACAGCGACCTGGTCCTTCTCGGTGCCGGTCGGTTCCTCTATTGCCCGCCCCATTATCCAAGACGTTCATCCAGCGCTCCGTGGAGACGCCCCTGGGCCGCTCCATGTTGCAGTGCCGCATCAGCAGGTACTCAACGACATCTCAGGCGGGAGTTACATTTTAAGAGGAGTAGCCTCCATCCTGACAGACGGTGTATGAGAAACGAACGCGTGCTGCATTAGGCGACAGCCCCATCTTGAAAACGAGCATCAAGTCTCGAAGCTGTTGCAGGTTTTTGAAACGAAGGTTCGCGGCGCTACGGCGAGCCCCACTTCGAAAAGGAAACGCACTCTACTCGCGAAGCAAGTGCAAGCTAAGACGAAAAGGCGCGGCGCTAAGTCGAGAGCCACAGTTTGAAAACCACTCCCCTCTCCATCTTTAAAATTGTTACAAGCGTGTAAGGCGACGGATCGCGGTGCCAAGGCGAGACCCACAGTTTGAAAGCGCCCCCCCCCCCCCCCCAAATGTGAAACTAGCTCACGTGATGCAGTGGAGTGCGCTAGGCGCTGAGGCGAGAGGCATCTGTTTCGGACGATGCCCCGCTCAACACTTGTGAGACGAACGCACGCGGCGCTGGGGCGAGAGCCACATTTTGAGAAGGAACCGCCCTCCATCCGCAAAGCTGCTGCCATTTAAAACAAAAAACGAGTGTGCGCGGCAATCAGGCGAGAGCCACATGTTGAAAGCACCCCCCTCCACGCACGAACCTGTTGCAAATCAAATTCTTCAGGCAAGTTCGCGCGGCGCTGAGGCCAGAGCCACATTCTGACCCCCCCTCAGTGTGTGAAATCGCTGTAAACTTTTGAGGCGATTGCTCGCGGCGCTAAGGCGAGAGCCACAAGGTTAAATTCTACCCCGGTGATGGAAATGTCAGACTCCAGTATCATACATGGATGTAAATGGTGGTGACATCTCCAGCGAAACGCCCGGGCCCGCCTACGGACACGTCTGGGGGTGCGAAAGGAAGGAGCTATGCACAAGGAAAGGGGATGGAGGAGGATGAGGAGGGAGGACGCCGTCTTTGCACCTGCTGTCTCGCACCGTGGATTTCTCCTGCACGCCGACGCGCCCCCTGCGGCCCGCTCGCTGCGAAAAGTCATCGGCCCCCAGACTGGGCGAGGGATGAGCTCAAGGTGGCCGAGGGGACCACGCTGGTGCTGCTGCTGCCGCGCCTGGCAGCCAGTGGCTGCATCGCGTGCCGCACCGCAGTCGCAGGCACGCCCGCGCGCGCGCGCCTCCCGGGGACGTTGAGCCTCGAAGTATGCAGCACTGCAGCGCCCAAGCGAGAGCCAGCACCATCGGTTTGAGATACGAGGAGGGGGAGGCGGGGGAGGAGGAGGAGGAGGAGGAGGAGGAGGAGGAAGAAGAAAGAGAAGAGGAGAAAAAGGAGGAGGAGGAGGAGAGGAGGAGGAGGAGAGGAGGAGGAGGAAGTAGGAGGAGGAGGAGTGGAGGGAGGAGAGGGGAGGAGAGCGAGGCCCGCCGCAGCTTCTTGCCCGCCGTGCTCCTCGCGTGGGGCTCCGAGGCCCGCCTGCGGCACCTGCTTCCAGGAGAGCCTCGCCCTCGGGACGGCCTCGCCCCCCAGCGGAGGAAGGCTGGCGGAAGCAGAGAGAACGGCGGCGCATCCGCCGGCGGAGGCCAGCGGAGGTGACAGCGAGGCGTCGGCACCTCCTCCTCCTCCTCCTCCTCCGCCCTCCTCCTCCTCCTCCTCCTCCTCCTCCTCCCTCCTCCTCCTCCTCCTCCTCCTCCTCCTCCTCCTCCTCCTCCTCCCTCCTCCCTCCTCCTCCTCCGCTGCGGCTTCAGGGCTTCGGGGGCCGCCCCACGGCTGCGCGGCTCGCGCGGGCCCGGAGCGAGAGGAGCGCAGGGGGCCGGGAGGGAGCGGAGCGAGAGGAGCGCACACGCAGGGAGGAGGGGAGAGGGAGCGGAGAGCGCAGGGAGGCACCCGGGGAAGGGAGGCACCTGGGGAAGGGAGGAGGCGGAGGAGGAGAAGAGGAGGAGGAGGAGGAGGAGGAGGAGGAGGAGGAGGAGGCGGAGGAGGAGGAGGAGGAGGAGGCGGAGGAGGAGGAGGATGAGGCGGAGGAAGAGGAGGAGGAGGCGGAGGAGGAGGAGGCGGAGGAGGAGGAGGCGGAGGAGGAGGAGGAGGAGGAGGCGGAGGAGGAGGAGGAGGAGGAGAGGGAAGGGCGTATGCACCATGCCAGAGCCAGGGTGGGCCTGGCTTGGCACGGTGGTGGTGGTGGTGGTGTCTTGGATGCCTTGCGCGTGCCACGTTCCTTGCGGGGCCCTGGTGTCCACACGAGATGCTTCCCCTGCGCTGACTCAACATACGGCGGGGTCGTCGGACGAGGAGTGGTCATCTCGAGTGCTGGACCCTGGCGCGTTCCGGCACCGCCGAGGCGAGGTAACGGGATGGCGCGTGAAATCTACATGCCAGGCCATCCAGATTCAAGGGTACCTACCTATACGACCACCCTTCGGGTGATAAGGAGGTGAGGGGGGGGGGGCGGGACCAACGTCGCACTCGATCGATCTCACTATCGAACTCACTACCGATCTCACAATCGATCTCAATCGATCGATCTCACAATCGATATGACTATCGATCTCACAATCGATCCCACAATCGATCTCACAATCGATCTCACATTCGGTCTCGCTATTGATCTCACAATCGATATCACAATCGATCTCACAATCGATCTCACATTCGATCTGACTATCAATCTCACGATCAAACTCACTACCGATCTCACAATCGATCTCACATTCGGTCTCACTATCGATCTCACTATCGATATCACAATCGATCCCACAATCGATCTCGCATTCGGTCTCACTAACGATCTCACTATCGAACTCACTTTCGATCTCATTATCGATCTCACATTCGGTCTCACTATTGGTCTCACTGTCGATATCGCAACCGATCCCACAATTGATCTCACACTCGGTCTCACCATCGATCTCACTATCGAACTCAATATCGATCCCATTATTGATCTCAATCGATCGATCCCACAATCGATCTGACTATCGATCTCACAGTCATCATCATCATCATCATCATCATCATCGTCATCATCATCATCATCATCGGGGCACCATCATCACCATCATCATCATCATCATCAGCACCATTATCATCAGCACCATCATCATCATCAAAGTCATCATCATCATCATCATCATCATCATCATCATCATCATCATCATCATCATCATCATCATCATCATCATCATCATCATCATCATCATCATCATCATCATCATCATCATCATCATCATCATCATCATCATCATCATCATCATCATCATCACGACGGGACACCGACGGGACACCGGGACACCGCGGGAACCCGCGGGCGCCACCCGGAAGGGAATCATTTCGTCCGGCCGCGCCTCAGCCACACGGGACACCAGCGGGACACCGGCGGGACACCGCGGGGCCGCCGCCCGGAAGGGAATCATTTCGTCCGCCGCAGCGCCTCAGCCACACGGGACACCAGCGGGACACCGGCGGGACACCGCGGGCCCCGGCCGCCCGGAAGGGAATCATTTCGTCCGTCAGCCACACGGGACACCAGCGGGACCTCAGCCACGCCTCAGCCACAGGAGACTTTCTCTCGCCCGCCCACGCAGCTTCGCCTCGCCCGCACGGCACGCACGAACACGAAACCGAAATCGATTTCCCGGTAGGGGGGCTCTCCGTTCCACTTCGATCTCACCCCCTCACCTCCGATATGCATATATACGATCACCCTTCGGGTGATAAGGAGGTTGTGGGGGGGGAGAGGGGGGGGAACCAACATCTGAATCAATCGATCTCACTATCGAACTCACTCAACGGGACACCACGGGACGCTTGTCGATCTCACTATCGATCTCACTATCGATCTCACTCAACGGGACACCACGGGACACCACGAGCCACCACCGGACATCTCGGGACACCGCAGGACACCTCTCGATCTCACTATCGGTCTCACTATCGGTCTCACTATCGATCTCACTCAACGGGACACCATAGGACACCACGGGACACCTCGGGACACCACATCGATCTCACTATCGATCTCACTCAACGGGACACCACGGGACACCACGGGACACCTGTCGATCTCATTATCGATCTCACTATTGATCTCACTCAACGGGACACCACGGGACACCTCGGGGCGCCACATCGATCTCAGTATCGATCTCCCTATCGATCTCACTCAACGGGACACCACGAGACACCTGTCGATCTCACTACCGAGCTCACTTTTTGGGACACCACGGGGCACCACATCGATCTCAGTATCGGTCTCACTATCGATCTCACTATCGAATTCACTCAACGGGACACCACAGGACACCACGGGACACCGCGAACCACCGCGAGCCACCGCCGGACGGACGGACGGAGGGGCGGGCGGGGGAGAATCCTTTGTCTTGACTTCGCCCTAGCAGCGGCGGACACCACGGGACACCACGGGACACCGCGGGACACCGCGAGCCACCGCCGGACGCGCGGGCGGGGGAGAATCCTTTCTCTTGACCTCGCCCTAGCAACGGGGGGGTCATTCATCTCGCGCGGCCACGCAGCTTCGCCTCGCCCCGCACGCACGACACGAACGCAACGAAACGATTTCCCGCTGGGGGGTCTCCGTTCTACTGTGATCGCACCCTGCAGCCCTCGCCTTTGTCTTGACCTTTGTTTGACCTCGTGTGGGCTTGGGAGAATCCTTTGTCTTGACCTCGCCCTAGCAGCGGCGCAGCCTCCTTCGATCCCTCAGGGCCAACGTTTTTTCTGTCCAAAGGAGTTTTGTTCGGGGCCTGAGTGCCTGCCTGTAAGGAGTTCGTTTTTCTGTGTACGCGTGTGTGTGTACATGGGTGAGTGAGCAAGGGCTCCCACGAGGGCGCGAAGTTATTCGCGCTTCGCGGTCCTCGTTCCTTCTCCCTCTTCTCCTCGTCCTCCTTTTCTCCCTTTGGGGGGGCGGCGCGAGAGCGCGAAGTTGGGAGCCCTAGTAGAGTGTGTGTGTGTGTGTGTGTGTGTTTGTGTGCGTGTGCGCGCATTCGTGTGTGCGTGCGCGCGTGTGCGCGTGCGTGTCTGGTCGTGCCCCGCCCTGTCTCCGCCCTCGTCCCTTGCTCGTTCGCTTCGTGCCTGCATGAGCTTCTGGTGCAGCCCACCGCTCGCTTTGATTGTCGCCTGACCGCCTCGCGCAAGTTGGCGTCCGCGGATCAAAAAAAGTGCGTATAGGCCGCATCGGCCCGCTTCCTAGAAACCCGGTCCGAGAGGAGGGAGGATAGGGAGGATAGGAATGATAGGGAGGAGGAGGAGGAGGAGGAGGAGGAGGAGGAGGAAGCAGGGCAGCTCCGACCTTGGACCTAATGCCCACAGCTCGAAGGCTCAGGGACCAGGAGGAGGAGGAGCGGGAGAGGCATGAGGAGCGTGAGGACCAGGAGACGGCGGAGGAGGCGATAGGAGAGGGCGGCAGCGACGAAGGGGGGGCTCGGATCCGGGATCCGGAAAAGTGGCCCGCGCTTGGGCGAGAGCACCATCCGAGCGACGGGAGCAGCGCGCTGATTATGACGTGTGGAGGAGGAGGAGGAGGAGGAGGAGGAGGAGGAGGAGGGGGAGGAGGAGGGAGAGGAGGAGGAGGAGGAGGAGAAGGAGGAGGAGGAGGAGGAGGAGGAGGAGCAACGCGCTGATTATGACGTGTGGCCAACCAGCGCTGCAGCGAGAGCACACTGCTTGAAAGGACGCGAGCGCTCTTCGCCGGAGCCGAAACTCAGATCGAACGGCAGCCCGGGACAATCCTGTGTGGTGAACCCTGCGCGATCCTAATTATTGGTCGTCTTCCTTCCACAGCAATTCAGAGCGGTCTTGAGCAATGCAACGCCAAGCATTGTTTGGCAGTGTTTGGCATTGGTTGGCATTGGTTTGCATTGCTTGGCATTGCTTGGGGTTGCTTGGCATCACACGGAATGGTTGATTGGCATTGCCTGGCACTGCCTACCACTGCTTCGTGCTGCCAATCGTCGCCGAGGATCCCCGAGGGACCCAGAGCAACGCCGAGGGCCGCCATTAGTTACCAAGCAACGCCGTGGTACAGAACCGAGGAACCCCGAGGAGCGCCGGGGGCGCACGGCCCCGCACCCACCTGGTGTGCTTCACAAGCCAGCATAAGCCCCTGAGGCAACGCCAGCACCCGGGGGCCAGCACTGCCCACGGCATC